GTGAAGAAATGACAGCTTCCTTTAGTACTGAAATACCTTGGGGACATTGTGCCCAGGTGGCTGGAGCAGGAACTGTAGGGTGATATTTAGACTGCTATACTGATTCACAACACAGCCATTAAACAGCAAGAGCCGTGTAAGCCAAGTAACGACTTAAGCTGGCAGGAACACAAAAGCAGGACTCTGGCACATTTGTAACACGAGTCAAAGAAATTAACACCTAAGATATGGGGTACTACCACATGATAGCAGCATTTCAAAAGTCATTTGGATCATTAGAGGGAAATCAGTGTCGGTTTCCAGGGAGCACCAAATTACTTGCTCTGTTCTGCAGCTCGCTATCGAGTTTATTTGTCCTGAGCTTTGCTGTGACAAGAGAATTTCATGGCCCCCCCAATATGTGACTAGTAATGGGTTTTATAGAGGACTAAAGAGTGCAGCTTCCATTTTAAAACCATCACATGAGCTCATCACTTACATTTAAATAAATACAACTAGTCGATGAGAGCACAGTGCACTGTGGAAGATGCTGCTGCCTGCCTTCAGGACTTCTCAGACTGCTTCTAAGTGAGCCTCGCTCCCCCAACACGGTGATCCAGCAAGGTTGGCTGTGGACTCTGTCACAGCCTTAAACTCACTGGCTCCAAGCTAATTGCTCCAATATTCATTTTCACCATGAATGAAACCATCAAGGGGTTTGATCTTGTTGGTGTGTGCACAACTATCAAATACATGTAGGAACTCGCAAATGTTTGGAATGTGTTCTGGGTTTATTTGTTGTTTGTTTTTTTTTTTTTTCGTATCTATCTGAAAAACTTGGAATTAATGCATCTGAAAGATTATTAAAAATAAAATTATTACAGGTGATAATAGAGTCTAAATAGTTGTCCATAACTGTAGTTTATCAGACATAATCAGGCTACTTATCAAGGAAACTTCTCCTTGCAAGAGACCAAGACCATTAAAGGAAATGACAACCAATCAAAATGCAGACTTGTGGGCTCAGTTCTAACTAATACAACACAACTCCCACATGTAATGCTCAGGGATCATTAAAGAAGAAACAGAAAGATTGTAAGCCAGAGGATCTGAGAACTTGCTGTAAGATTGGGTCTCCTAGAATGTCAGAAGCTACACCCATGAAATCTCATCAATATGGCCACCAAAACGTAACCTAAGCAAGGATGTGACAGCAACAGACTTGCTAACATGGGAGGGGAAAAGCTCAGGCAGCCTCAGCTTTAGACAAAAGATTACAGGCAAATGAGGAATGCTGAGGGCAGGAGAAATAGCCTTCCCCACGGAAAAACACACCAATTGATTACGCAATACCAAGTTGTCAACCCTGAACATACATACATACAAGTAACCTTACACAGACTGAGCAGGTTACATTACATATTTAGTAATATATGTATATTACTAAAATTATATATATCACATATATATGTAAAATATTATGCGTTTAGGGATATATATGTACATGTACATATATATGTAATAACAATGAATTTGAAAGAGAATAAGGAAAGCAGGATAACAGGAGGATTTGAAGGGAAGAAATAAAATGATCTGATACAACTACAATCTCAAAAGCAAAAAAAGGATATAAGAAAGAAACAGAAAAGAAAATGCTCAGAACAATGGCTGATAAGAGGTCATCCACTCACCAATTTACACTTAAAGACGCTACATCTGTGTTGGTTTTGACAATGGCAAGAAACTCTTAGCTGATAACATAAGGTGATGGCTGTTTTCTACACGTGTGATTGAGTGTACAAAAGAACGAGCATGTTTTCCTGGTCGTGTGTCTGAAAAGGCAGACTTTGACTGATGTCCATCTGCTGTCATTACCTCTCAACCTCATTGGAACATGAGACTGACACATTTGGGGTTTTGCAGAAAATCATTTGAATTTCAGCTATATTCTAGATGTGAACCTAATACAGGTTGAGCATTCCTAAGCCAAATGTAGAAAACAGAAATTTACCAAAATTCAAAACATTTTGAATGCTGACAGGACATCACAATAGGAAAATTCTTCACCTTGTGTGGAATACTAATTAACAAAACAACAGTTTTCTTTAACCCTGCCAGCTTTCAAAATAATAGACACAGAGACACTAAGATTTACTATTAAGCTGTAGTACTACGCTGGGCAGAGTCTGAGCTATTCTAATCCTACTATTCTTTTTTTTTCCCCTGCTATTCTTAAAACCCACATAAAAGCCAATCACTTGCCAATTGATGACTCCCGGGTGGCTTCAGCTCTATCATTCTGTCTTCATCTGCTTCATGGCAACTCCTTTCTCTCCCACTTCCTCTCCTCCTGCTTCCTCTTCTGCTTCCCCTTCCTCTCTATACCCCAAGGCCGGGAACCAAAACTCTGACTACCTTTCTTATATCCAGTCATAGGCTTTTTTTTTTTTTTTTTTTTTTTTTTTTAGCCAATCGGGGATAATCAGGGAACATTCCTTACATCACATAGGTACAGGAGATGGTTCAACATTCATAACAATGCCTGTGGCAGGGAAGTAACCAGATCACAGGGAATTGAAATCAGCATCTGAAAACACAGTGCACAGACCCTCCTCCAACAACCTGGCCTCATGGGATAAGTTACAGTAAAGATGCAGGCACAGGGTAATTTGTAAGATATATGTGTATTATATGAAATAGAAGAAGTCTACATTCAAATATGAGATCCATACCTGAGATACCACAAATACTCCAAAATCTGGAAAAAAAAACTAAAACCAGATATATTTCTGATCTTAAAATTTCATATAAAATATTGCAACCTGTGTATCCAAAGGACAGATGACTTCCAATTCTACACTGAGGAGAAGACTGAGAGGATCCAAGACTTTACAGTGAGGCCAAGCCCAAAGCTGACAAAACATTGTCCCACTGTTGAAAGTGTGACTTTCTGATACCCCTTACCATTTCAGGATCTATCTTTCTACTGACTGACTCTTAAAAAATGTTAGTATGTTGTTCTAAATGAGGATGTTTCTCCTACAGGTTCCCTTCATGAAACCGGCAAGCAGCAGATGAAATAGAAGGGGATAGCCTCCAGACACCTAAGCATCTAGGTGTCATCATGTGGAACGATGTTCCAGCAGCCAAATACTGGCAGCATCAAGGCAAATCCCACAGAAACCTGCCCTAGGCTCTGCGAAACCACCCGTCTGGTTTGGCTAGGAGGGCTGAGAAAGTGAGCTGCTTTACTCAAGAACACCCGTCAGTGTGAAGTCCAAGTCCAGAGGCAATGGTTGCTTCCTGGTCCAGTGTTTTTGTGAGCAGGTTCACATGGGGATTCTGATGATAGATGTTAGAGTCACTAGGAATGTAGACGCTGGTTTCCATATTGGCTGACCACTCTAGTTAGGATCCGGAATACGCTGAAAGAGCAACCCCAGACTCGATTAGCACACAAGCAAAAGAGTGTTTATCCTGCAGAAGTCCAGCATACTGGGACAACCATCTTCATAACATGATGGCAGCCTTGAGGGAAGCTTGAAGGTCCCTTTGAAAGCCAGAGAGCGGAATTCCTACTGTGGCTTCGTAACCTCGATTGGGATTGGTAGTGTGCATGAAGGCTACGTGGTTCTGGTCAGGACTTAGGTGCTCTTCAAGCTGGTAGTTAAGCAACCTTATATTCCCCAGGCCAGAGGTCTTGTCTGTTTCTGATTGGTTGCCCTTTTCCTATATTTTTTTTTCCTGCAACTCTTAGGCCTATTCTGTCTATCAAGAAAATATATTCTGTCATGGAGCTGGTCGGGCTTATTTAGCCAGGCTCTCTTGCTCTCATAATTGTGAAAACTCAGAACCAGTTTTATGTGTGTGTGAATGTGTGTATGAATGTCTGTCTGTGTGTGTGTGTGTGTGTGTGTGTGTAGTTACTCATCTTCAATTTCTGAATTATTGTATTTAGTAAATGGAGGAAATGTCCCATTGTGGAAAGGGTCATGTCCCATTGTGGAAAGCGTCACCTTTGAGGCAGAACAGATATGAGTTTGAATTTAGCTGTACTTTTCATTTGATTTACATCCTTGGGCCATTTCAGCATACAGTTGCCCAGTTTCCCAATCTAGGAAGTACTAATTCCTTCCAACTCTGACCACTTAAGAAATTTAACCATGTGCCTAAATCACCTGACACATACCCCAGGTCTTCATGGATATTTAACAATGGAAACTGATATGCAAATTAAAGTTAACAGAAAGACATGGAATAAGGGTTGGGGGGAAAAAAGTGTCTTTCAAGCTACTCAGATAGATTGAGAATAACTCCTTGAGGAGAAGATATAGGCTGATGCTAAGAAACGTCAATCAAATTGTTCTCGTGGATTATGGGATAGTGAACACTAGGGCCACTGGGCTGTGGCTCAGGTCCAAATTCCTGAGAGCAGTGTGGCTCTGACGAGGGTGACCAACCTCTGGAGTCAGTTTCGTCCTCTGAAAGACAAGAGAAGGCCTAAGCATCTTTCCTTCCTTCCTTCCTTCCTTTAGGGTTGCTCAAAAAAAGCTGTAATGAACTCTCCTACTAAGAGGCGGTTCCCATTTGGCAGTTCACAAGAGAGTTACGGCTAGCTACCCCAAAGGGGTTCATGGTCAGCCCCTCAGAGGGAATTCATGGTCAGCCCCTCAAAAGGGGCTCATGGTTCATGGCCAGCTTCTTAGAGGGACTTCACAGCCAGTAACTAGCTGATCTGCATATATGTAGATGAATTTCCTCTCCTCATATTTGCTGCTAGTGACACAGGATTTGAAGACACCGCTTAGGTTGTCTTTGAATTTTCTGTTCTGCTGTCACTTGTGTATGAAGTTCACTGATTTGAAACCAAGAAACAGTCTAAAGTCAACAGTGACATAACAATGTGCTTCCTTTAGCACAAAGGAAAAAAACATTAAAACTACAGAGACACTGCTCATGGCTTTGGAACACCAACAAGGACCCAATGGTTTCCAGAAGAAAGAAAAGAAGAGAAAAAGGAACAAGGGAAATAGCATATTTATTAAGGGGTATGAAAATGTAGGAACTTACAAAGTAATACATTATGAATTAAGGAAGTATTATTTACCCAGTGGAAAAAAAAATAGCCAAAATTCACGAGCAAACTGGATTGTATATGTGAGATGATTACATATTTAATCTCTAATCATTTCCTTTCCCAATCATCTATTAGTAGCAGCAATTTTAAAATGACAACCAAAAAAAAAAAAACTGTTACAAATAAACATTGCCTGGGGAGAAACATTTCCAAGAATGCTCTTTTTAAAATGAACGGATGCAACAAGCTATTCAAACTGTGAAGACTTGGGGCTCATCTTCAAAGATGAGGAAAATAAAAAACCCTGAACATTGTTCACTAAGAAATGAAAAAAACAAATACATTTTCATCAGTGAAAAAGAATACATATGGATATTATAAGACATTCTTAACCAGTGACTGCAATGATAACATTTAGAAATGTTCATTCAAGTACTGGTATTCAATAAGCATTCAAATTTTCATCAAAAGTAACAAGAGACTGGAACAGCCCAGTGGCTGTTCTGAAGTAACAAGGGCCATATCAACAGGAGGCAGGTGACCCTCAGAATACTGTTGTCAGTTTTGCTTTGTTTTGTTGTTTTTGCCTACAATAGACTTTTTAATAGTCTGTTATTTTTTTATCTTCAAGGACCCATGGACTATCTCACAACAGCTAATTAAGAAGTTATTTCTATAAAATGAGTCAGCAATACCAAAACAAACATTATAAAACTCAACTTTAGCTGAGTTTTATAATGATGATGATGAAAACGGTGATAAGGCAAAAATATGTTCTCTTTGGCAAGAAGTTGTTAATTCCTTACCAAATGTTGGTTTGTGGGCTTTGTAGAAACTGTAAGAACACTTTGGTTATTTACCAAAGAGCTATTTAGTGGGCTGAGAGTTCATAAACTTTCACCATGCATAACAGCACTGGAGACTATGGCAAAGTCGTGCTGAAATCAGCATCATTTACTTGATTCCCATTATTAAAAACTCTCCCTTCAAAAAGCTCCTTCCTTATCTTGGCCTGAATCTCAGGCTGTCTCAGAAGTTCCTTTATCTGTTTCACTTTGGACTTCAGCTCCATCCTTTCTCGGCGCAAAGCTTCATTGATTAAGTCTTGGGTTCCAAATGGTTTCTCACCTATGGGGGAAAATTATATGACACATTTAAAGTACAAATATCAATGAAATACATTAAATATGGCACACTGGCTTATCAAAATAAGGCTTAAAAAACCTCTAAAATGTTACCCACATTTCATAGAAAAGATTGCATTTTGCCCAAAATATAGAATTCATGTGAAACTTAATTTACTGTAAATAAAGACCACTGTATGGTAACAGCACACTGGGGACAAACACGGAACTTTGCGGACTCACTATACTCATGATCATTTCAACAGTGGCAAGCTGAACTTGAGCACTTGATAGCTGTGTACAAGTTTTGTCCTCTGATAAAGCGGCCCACTGATCTAAGCAATGTAAACGGCAGTATTCCGACGGTGGCGGGTCCTCTCCCTCCGCCTCTTGAGTCCTGGCAGGCCTTCCAGAAGCGCCCGCTCTCCCTCGTGCATGGCTGATGGCACACAAGGTTGGTATTGTTCTTCTGTAAATTCATTTCTTCTGCTGGTCTCAGCACCCCATTCTTTCCTTTTCCGTTGTGTCGCAGCAACACGGACGCACCAATCTTAAAAGTGATGGGCCATCTCTGCGGCTTGAACAGGGTGCTTGGCTAGCACGCGGCGAGTCAGTCTGCGACTTCGCAGAGGGACAGCGGGAATGGCTGTCCTCTCACTTCCTGTTGTTATCACTACCGGTGCCATTCCGCTCGCCCTCTTCAACTTTCGTGGCGGTCCCCTCTCCTGGCTGCTTTTTGTTCTGTGTTTCTTCCAGGTACTGCTGGACAGCCTTGAGCACGGCGCTCTCCACCAGCCTCTTACTGAGCCTGACCAGTTCGGCATCCTCAGGCTCCCCTCGGTCCTTCTCACCTACATTCCACAAGAGAAGAGAGGTCACTGAGCTCATATTGCCATAGCAACGAGGCCACCAGGGCCCAGCTAGTTCAGCTAGTTAAAAGAGCAAGTGTCCTTCACTCTGGCAAATGGGATCTATACGTCCAGCAAGAGTGGGCTGCCTTTTCCTGTGACATTCGTCCAGGCGTGACCCTGTCTATTTCTGAAGACTTTGGGCTGCAAAGGCGTCCATTAGAGGCACATAGCCTTGCTAGCAGCGCTGCAGCCTTCCTATTTCTACATGGCTTTTGCGCTCCTCTCTCACTCAAGGCTAATGATGTTTATGAGCTGCTGGTGCCCACACATGGGTCTCGGGCACATGAATTCACCCAAGAGATCTGGACCTGCTGCTCCCTCTCCAATGCTAACTATCAGAGAATCGAGATTTCCCCCACCATCTTACGGCTTAGGATCACTCATTTTGAAATGCTTGGCAGAGAGATTGGTTGTCAATAAACTCCCAGCACTCACACCAAGGCGAATGTAATAACCACTGCCAGCAGAGACCGGTTTAAAATAGGACTGCAAGGCTAGCATTCTATTTTTAAAATCTCGATGCTGTCGCTGTAACTCAAGAGACGGGGAATTCTCCTAAGAATTATGATCCTGGTGGCAACTCCCTATGGGCCACTGTCTAATCTTCCCTCTGCTGTCCCTCTAATGACGATGCAGGTGGAAGCATGTACAGTATTCGCTTTGGTGTTTTGAATAAGATCCACGTCTCCCGTGTCCTCTTGCTACCTCACCCTTCCATTCTCCAGATCGTCCCTTCGCTGCGGAAAGGCAAAGGGGGCCTCTCCCACCACGTCCGCTCAGCACCCTCACTCCCTCCTCTGAAGTGTCGGCTGGAAAGCGGATGGGTGGTGTTGCAAACAACTCGCTGCCCACCGTAAGATGAGCTCCACGTGACAATCCAAGGGCTCGAGGTGACAAAGCCGGCGCCACCTCTGCATGTCCAGGTCTGGGTCAGGAGGATACAATGAGTGGAAGCAGGGACACGGATATCATTTTCTATCCCCATACATATCAGGGCTTGGAGAGCAGAAGAAGATGAGCCAAAGATCACTCCTGGCCCCAGTCCGCCTTCATAACCCTGTTATTTGTCCCCAGCGCACATGCAGGATTAATTCTGCTGGAAGCCACCTCTATCCTTCCAGCAGACAGACATCACACATGAAAGGGAGGATGGGTTAAGAACAACCTAGATTGATGCCTTAGCAACCGCTTCCCCCTCAAACATGGCACCAAGGACCACGATTACAAGCCTAAGCACACGTGCAGTACAAAACATGTTTGGAATTGAGTAAGCTTTGACTTGGTGATAACAGAGAACCTACTGAACAGATATGTCATGGCACTGTGAAAAAGCAAGGAAAGGAACTGTCACTAATATAAGCTCAGGCAAAAGCTCTGATTTTTACTAGTAAGAATGCGTGGAAATGTTGCCTAATATTTAAATTGTTTCCTCTCAATCTTATAGCACAATATTTACCCTGTATAGATGGTATTTCTATGCGCACTGCATGCAACTATTTGTATAGTGGCTCTTCAGATTTAAAATGGAAAATCAGATGCAAATGAAGGGATGCTATTTAAGTACCTTTCAAAACATGACTTTCAAAATGACATTCCAAATCCCCCACCAAGGCTCTGCACCCAGGCCAGGGACTACAATTTGTGAACAGTTCTAGAACTCTAGTCAGCTTTCTCAATGGTAAGATAACAAGGCAGGATTTAAGTTCCATTAATAACTCATTCTCCAAAATCCTTCTCAGTTCTAATATCACGTACCTCGTGGTTTTTGTCAGTGGTGTGTCCCTGTGACTTGAAATGTTAAATGGGTCTGCGGTACATGTTCGGAGTCCCATACTCATGATGCACATTCGAAACTAGGGTGGGCTACTGAGGAAGACCCTGCCCAACGTCTTTCCTAAAGAGAGAGGTTGAAATATAAAAGCTTCCCACAAAATGTTAATTTCCCTTCTGGCTGTCCTATTTTTGCTCATGCTTTTACTATTACCCCTGTCAATCAAACTCAGAGCATGATTATCTTTGAGACCTTCCTGACCCTAGTCAGCCTGCTTCACTGTGCAGTACTGTCAACATGCACCTCACAATTTCTCCTGTCCTCAAGGCGCCTGACTAGAAGCCTCTAGGTCCATTTTCTAAAGTATCCCTTTCACACTGGGTGTGGTAGCACGCACCTTTGACCACAGTGCTTGGGAAGCAGAGGCCGATGCTGGAGCTCTGTGAATCTGAGGCTAGCCTGACCTACAGCTCAAGCTCCAGGCCAGCTAGGACTACACAGTGAGACCCTCTTTCAAAACAACATTCAATTTGTCAATTAAAAAAAATCAGATAAAATACCCCTTTCAGTCTCCACTTACGGGGAGGGGGGGCAAGTTTCTGTTTCAGGACTTCCTGGGGTTTGCCTGAACAGCCACTATTGTGCCACCTCTGGGGTGAATTACAACATCCTTAGATGCTGCCAGGTCATTCCCTATATATAGATCCCTGCCCTTCCCCTTCCAATTACAATCTTAATTCCTTTGGCCTTGCTCAGCTGGAAGGACATGTGTATATGAGCACTTCACCATTTGGTCATGTCCTAAGTATCTACTAAGTGGGTCCCTAGTAAGGGGAACAGGGACTATCTCTGACATGAACTCAGTTGCTCCCCCTGAGGGGGAAGCAGCCTTACCAGGCCACAGAGGAAGACAATGCAGCCAGTCCTGATGAGTCCTGATACACTAGGGTCAGATGGAAAGGGTGGAGGACCTCCCCTATCGGTGGACTTGGAGAGGGGAATGGGAGGAGATGAGGGAGGGAGGGTTGGACTGGGAAGGAATGAGGTGGGAGCTACAACTGGGATACAAAGTGACTAAACTATAATTAATATAAAAAATAAAATAAAAAAATACATAGCCTATATCCTCTCAGCCTATCTAAATACTGTAGAGAACAAACCAAGATCCTACTAGCTTTCTTTTTTAATTCTTTTATAAATTATGGGCATTCTTTATTAATTTACAAAGACATAGCCTGATGGTTGGGAGCATGGCCCAGTCAGAGGCCTGCCTGATGCAAGCATGGGGCCTGTGTGCGGCTCCCCCAGCACACATATGAGAAGCCGGAGTAGTGGTACATATCTGAAATGCTGGCACTTGGGAAGGAGAGAGAGAGAGAGAGAGAGAGAGAGAGAGAGAGAGAGAGCGCCCTGGAGCTCATTGGCCAACTATTCTAACTGTTAAACTCCAGAATCACTGAGGGACTCTGTCTCAAAACATAAGGTGGGTGTGGTTAAGGAAACGGCTGGCATGTACTGCTGGCCTCCTTGCGCATGCATACACATGTGCGCATTGGCACATACACATGTGCGCCCCCACCCACATGTACCTGAACCCACACACAAACGCAGGCCTGAGGATAGGAACTACAATAGATATCTGGTGCCTTCCTCTCTGCTAACATATGGCACAGTTTTTTCACCACAATGAGAGCTCGATAATTTTTTTTTTTTGCCTAGTGATTTTTTTTATTGAAATCCTTGAAAGCAGTAGCAACAGTTTTGAATGTTATTACCATCCTATATAAATAGCACACCGTGGCCCGAAATTTAAATGTAAAATTAAATCTAAAATAAGAGCAGAGAATTTGAGAATAATTTGAATATCTGTGCGAAAAATCTACATCTTCTTTGCCTGATGAACCTGATCTGTAAGACAAAATATTTCTTCCAATGATGATCAGAAATTAACAATCTATAGTAAGCAATTATTTCACCAACCAAAAATAGGCAAATCAACAAATCTTCAAGCTCCAACCTGGACTTCAGCTTCCCCACATCAGTTTTTTGTGCAAACCCACTCAGGCTACTAATATGATCTCAGAGCAAACTGGGCATGGCACATGACTATGATCCCAGCACCCAGAGAGGATCAAGCTCTTCCTTAGTTACATACGGAATTTAGGGCCAGTCTAGGATACATGACGCCCTGAAAACATTTTTGCACATGTATGCATGCATACATGTGTGTGTCCTGGGTGGCTTTATTACAGATCTGTAAGAATGAAATAGTCCAAGAGGTCAGAATCTTCATTCCAGTGAGAACTTGCCTTCCAGTTTTCA